AGCTTAAACCTAAACACGACTGACACGATCTTGAAATTTAAAAAACTAACTCAATAGAATTAAATAAAATCATAATCTAAACCCATCAAATTCGGGACTCGTTACCGCTATTGTTCGAGGTTTTCTGGTGATGAAATTGACTAAATCTTAGTTATTTCTTTCTTATTGTGCTTTCTCAGTTTATTTAAATTTAAAAGCTTTTCTATAACTATATATCATACAAATATATTTATTTATATTTTCTTAACATGTAATATATATATATATATATATATATATATATAATACAAAATCGAATAACTCAACTCATACTTAAAACTAACATTGAAGTCGATATAAATCACAACCCTTAACTTTGCTTAACTAAATACTCTAATGTTATGATCACGCTGTCGTGATTCTTAGTCTAATCCTTCCTAAATCAAAACCAGCAGGTTCAATAAAAGCATGAAGAGAAATGGACGAGAAATCATCCGAGCAAGCCATATTGTTCGACTAGATTAGTGTAAGAATCATAGCCTCGTGACGATTCCACTTTCCCGATCAGCTGATCGATCCCCGTATCAGAATTCTGGAAATAGAAGCTTTCAACCCCGTTTGCAATGTTATTAACCAAGTCCGAACTCACCGGTTTCGTCCTCTGATCCTTTGTACCCACATCTTCCGATCGTGCTTCTGGTTCTCCGTTGCCGGATCCGGAGGACGCCTGTAACTTTCTTTTCGAACGAGCACGACGATTCTGAAACCAGTTGTACGCATTCGTCTCGGAAATCTGGCCGTGCTGTGCTAGTTCAGATGCTATCTCCTTGATTTTCTGCTTGCCCGTTGTCCCGGTTCCTTGCTCGTATATATTCTCCAGAATCTGCAGTTGCAGTGCTGTCGGAGTCCATCGCTGTCTCGCGGTGATTTTGTGGCCAACACATGATATCGGGTCACGATATAGATTCCCCAATCTGATTCCTGAGCCACCCAAAAAAAAGAACTAAATTGAATAATCCATTAAGAGAAGAAGAAACAAAGGGTTGGGGGGGAAACCAGTGAAATCGTGGTGGACAGAGATTGATTTGTGTAACTCGGCGAGCTGCTCAGAAATGGCGGCGTAAGCAACTATCTGTCTCCTCAATTGCTCGACCTGTTCATCGGTCATCACTTTCCCGCAAACCAAATTCTGGGTTTGGTACAGCAAATACTCGTCTGCTTGTTGCATCTCTTGATTTTCCCACTCCATTTTCGCGGAAAATAAGCTTGCTCTCGGAAACCCAGTTTCAAATTTATGGAGAAAGAAGCGGCAACAAATATGGTAATTGCAAATACTTGATTATAAAACAAGCAATCAAGGGAGCGAAAAAAACTTCATAAATTAGAAGAGAAGATAGAAAGTTGGTCATATTGCGTTGGCTCTGCCGGGTTGCGCGGGTAAACTTTGTGTCTGATAATGGCAACTTTCTGAGCAGTTGGACCAATCGCGATCGTGGTAGCCGTCGGAGGAGGGTAATTCCGTGAACCACGTTTGATTATTTGAAATTCTAGTTTCCAAGTAAAACCACGGCTGAAAATTCAACCCATATTAAAAAAAAATCAAACCAAATTCTATGGTAAATTGCCTTACTGTACACTTGAAGATGTTTAAGGAAATCCAATTCAATAAAATGTGTTATCGAAAATATTAATATTTTTTAATATTTTTGGTAGACTTAAAATGTTATTTTTTTATCGAAATATTAATATCAGAAATATTTATTTTAAGTAGTAAAATTATCATTGTCGATGAAAAATAATAATATTTTAGATAACGGTCTATAAAAAATATAAAAAATATTAATATTTTTTATAACTTATTTTTTATTTTTATATTAAACTGTCGTAGAAATAGAAATACCCGACACTTTGACTATCGACACTGACCGGAAATATTAGACCGGAAAAGCCCAGAACCAGAAGTTTTGGGTGGGTGCCAATTGTCAGCCGTGCTTGTTTGCTCAACCTCCGGCACATGGGGGCCAATTGTCGTCCTCGTTTACTACTTTTAATATATATATATAAACTAAAGAGTATTTAAGTATGCTACACGTTTAATGTTTAAATTATTACTTTTATTTTATTTTGGTACCTAATTTTTTTTAAATTATATTTAAGGTTTAGTTTTGATTTCAATCTGGTACCTAATTTTAAAAATTAATAGAACTGTTATGATATTTTATTTTTTTCAATGTTGATCTAGTATTAACTTATGGTAAAACGTCAACATCACCGTTAAGTCTTCAACAACGGGATATCAAAATGAACCATAAATAAATATTAGGTATAATTTAAAAAAAATAAAGTTGGACTTTCAAAACAAAACAAAAATAATAATTTAGATACTAAATATATAGTTCACCCTTAAGTTTAATATTTTAATTTAACTAATAATAAATCTAATATGTTGGACTTAAATATTTATTTTCTAAATGTAAAACACTAAAATATTTCTTATATTAATAGAAAGACTGAATGAATTTTTAATATAATATAAAAACTGCTAGTAGACTTTAACCAAACTTATACACTTTCATTGCATAATGAAGTCTCATGATAAGTAATTACGTAACTAATAATATGGTAAATTAGGTGTTTAGTACCTAAACTATCAGTTTTGATCTATTTTAGTATCTAAACTTTCAAATTTTTCAAAATCATACCTAAAATTTATTTTTGTTTCATTTTAGTATTCCGTTCAAAATTTAACGTTAATTTTTGAAAAAAATGAAAGTTTAGATAGTAAAATTGATCAAATTAACAGTTTAGGTACTGAACGCATTAAGTTTTTAACGACAAGATACTAAAATGAAACAGAAACTAAACATTATGTATGCTTGAAAAAATTTAAAGTTTAGATTTTAACACGGACTAAAATTGATAGTTTAGATACTAAATGTGTAGTTTATCCAATAATATATTAGTAGTAGCCCGATGTTCGTATCCAATAATATATAGTCTAGCTAATAGGATAAGGTGTCCGTATTTTAATATTGTAAATGTGACAAATTGGGTTGAGATGGTCTCTCAAAGTTGAAATAGTCCATTGTTAATGCTCAAATTAGGTAGAGAGGGTCTCTTGATGCTCAAATTGAGTTGGCATGGAAAGATAGATTGGTTACTAATGATCGACGTGCTTCATGGGGGACTACCTCGTCGGCTAGCTGCAACGTGTGCGGCTATTCCATGAAAAATTGAGTCGTATATTGACAGAATGTATCACAATGTGCAGTATTTGAAATTAGTGCATCCCTAGTTCCTTGCATGGGAATCCTTTCTTCCATGATACGTACAGGAGGATGGTTATTAGATGATCTTGATGCTAAGAAGCGCCCTCAAGAGCCGGTACTAAGGTTTGATGCTATCATTTGTTGGCTGTGAACTGTGAGATGCAAGAAGGTTTTTACACCAGACGATGACGTACCAAATGGGAATGATTTTTGCAATAACATAGTATATACAATCAAGGAGGTTCTCATGGAAAATAACAAACTCTTTCGGAAGACAATTAAACCTGGTCTAAGACAAAGATTTGTCCTTAATTTGTATCCGACGGAGGATGATCCAGACTCGTGAGGATTGGTTTTATCTCCGGTTGAGGCCTGGACAGGAGGGGCACCTGCCCAGGAACCCTTCAAAATTATAAATAAGTATAATTAAAAAAGGATCATTTATTTATTTAGCTATTCATCTATTATTTTATTTCTGTTTTAGTTATCTTGTTATTATTTTTACACAATCAAACTTAGCGTTGTATTTTGTTTTTGTTATCCACCATTAAAAAATTAACGACATTGCCGATATAATATTTTTAAATTATGTTTCTTTTTTACTTTTCACTTAATTATTCTTTTATTATTTTTTTGGACAAAGTGGAGTGGGTTAAAATCTAACATGGATCATCTTAAAATTTCCTGATGTTTTTTATTTATAATTTGATGTATTTATTATATAGTTTATCAAACGTAATAACAAATAATTTACAAACAAATTTATTTAGTTTTGTTTGTTCTTACGATTCAATTTTTTCGATACTTATTATTAGAGTCCTAATTTCTATATTCGCCCCATGCCACTAAAATCACAAAAACGAGCATGAACTTTGGGTGATGGCGAGGTGGTTTATTTGGATTCCGATACTGTGGTTTTCGAGCTTGAGTTGATTAGCGTTTGGTATTCGAGAGAAAGTGTGTGGTCGAAAGATGAGATGTCTCACTGAACTATTGTGTTTGAAAGTCGAACAGAGATATTCGGTGACGAGGAAGATGAACATCGAAAAGCAGGCGCAAGGGGAAGGTAGAGTTTTTGCAAAAAAGAAAAACATATTAAAAAGGGCACTAGTGAAGCCAATACTTAAATTATTTTTGTTATATATATAATGTAAAAGAATGAAAATGACTCCTTTTAATGAGATTTTGACACCCTTTAAAAAAGAAATTGACCAATATTTTAAAAAAATATTTAACAAAAAAATTTAAACTCGATTTTCCAACATAATAGAAAACCTTTACATAATTTTTAAATTTTAACCCCAAAATAAATTTTCTAGCTTCGTCCCTAAAAAATGGTATATTAAAAACTTGTCCCTAAACTATTTTGGATTTATAAAAAGACACATAATTAGTATTTTATTTAAAATTTAGGGGTTAAATAAAAATTAAATTATTTTAATAACGTTCCACTTCATCAAATTAACGGCATTTAACGTCAAAGTGACCAAAGATATATAAAACGATAACAGAAGTGAGCAAAACTTAACTTTTTTGAATTTTGTGAGACAAAGTTTACAAATATGAAACATAAGTGACTATTCTTGTAGTTTACTCATTATTTAAAAAAAAGTCAATCGTTCAAAGAATCAAAGATGTGGTGCAAGTAACTCGATAATAAAAGTAGAAAAATATAACGCAAAAAGTCGGCAAAAACTTCTTCCTTATAGCCTCATCGTTGCAGACTGCAAAACACAAAGCTTAAAGCTCGAGTAATCAAGGTCGACGTCAAGAGAACATGGATTCAACTCCCGCCCTCCTCGCTCCTTACAAGATGGCGAGTTTCAGTCTCTCTCACAGGTCTGTTTTCAACACACACTTCTGGTTCCCCCCCCTCCGAAGCAATTTGCTTTTGTTATTGAACTTGTTTGTTGTATATAGGATAGTATTGGCACCGATGTCCAGGCTGAGGTCTTACAACTTCGTAGCTCAACCACAAGCCATCTTGTATTACTCCCAAAGAACAACACCGGGTGGTTTCTTGATCGGGGAAGCGTCTGGTATTTCACCAACTGCTCACGGGTAATATTCATTCGCTTTATTAATTAATCCGATACATATGTAGAGATCAATCGTATAGGTTGACCTAATGTAAATTAAACCTTACAAAAAAAATCTTTTTGAAGGTACCCAAATACTCCTGGAATATGGACGAAAGAACAAGTGGAGGCTTGGAAGCCGATAGTGGATGCTGCTCATAAGAAAGGGGGTGTATTCTTTTGTCAACTATGGCATGCCGGCAGAGCTTCTGATAATTGTTAGTTATTCTTACCGTTTTTGTATTTTGAATATGTATTGTTTTGTTATTTGATAGTTGTTTTTAATTTTTTTTGTCAGAAAAAGATAAACTCAAAATTATTTTGAATCGATAATTATTAGTATTTAGTCATGTACAGGTTTCCAACCTGATGGCCGGCCGCCAATCTCATGCACGGACAAACCAATACGAGCCAAGACTCACATCGACGGAGTAACGGAGGCATCTTTTCCGGCTCCTCTTCGGTTGACAACCCATGAGGTAAAACAAGTCATAAACGACTTTAGAAAGGCAGCTCGGAACGCCATGGAAGCTGGTAATATATATCTCTTCACAGCTTGACTAGGTTTACACTTTACAATTTACATCTCGTAAATTTCTAATATATCATCTTAAATTTGTACATCCTGATATGAAATCATTCATTCATCTGTTCTTGTTTTATACGTAACACACATGCATACAAACTAATGATTTTTTTGCTATAGGTTTTGATGGAGTAGAGATTCATGGAGCTAATGGATATCTGATCGATCAGTTCTTGAAGGACCAAGTGAACGACAGAACAGATGAATATGGTGGGAACTTAGAGAATCGTTGTCGCTTCGCTCTACAAGTAGTCGAAGCAGTGGCTGATGAGATCGGTGCCGACAGAGTCGGCATCAGACTATCGCCATTCGCCGATTACAATGACTGCTCTGACTCGAACCCCGAAGCCCTCGGCCTTTACATGGCACGGTCTTTGAACAAATACGGTATTTTGTACTGTCATGTGATAGAGCCGAGGATGATCACCCAATTCGATAGTCGAAAAACAGAGGACAGTCTATTGCCGATGAGAAAGGCTTTCAAAGGAACGTTCATCGTCGCCGGTGGGTACAACAGAAAAAACGGAAACGAAGTGGTTGCTAGTGGCGGTGCCGATCTGGTTGCGTTCGGGCGCTTGTTTCTGGGGAACCCTGATTTGCCGAGGAGATTTGAGCTCGATGCTGTGCTTAACGAGTATGATAGAAGCACCTTTTACACGCATGATCCGGTTGTTGGTTATACAGACTATCCGTTTCTCGAAACAAATAACTAAATTTCACTTTATTTACACACAATATATTTTGCGGTAAACTACGAATTTAGCACATAAACTATCAATTTTAGTATGTTTTAGTATTTAAACTTTTTTTATTTTTTACACCATACATAATGTTTAGTTTTTGTTTCATTTTAATACCTCACGTTTAAAATCTAAACGTGTAGTACCAAAACTATCAATTTTGGTTCCTTTTAGTTCCTAAACTTTCAAAACAAATTCAAAACTTAACGTTAAACTTTGAACGGGTAGTAAAATAGAACAAAAACTAAGTTTTATGTATTTTTGAAAAAAATGAAAGTTTATGTACTAAAATGGATCTAAACTAATAGTTTATGTATTAAACGTGTAATTTACCCTGTATTTTATTTGAAACGACTACGTTGGTTGTTTTTTTAGGTGTTGTTTCATATGGTTATTGGTCATCTTTCTATTTTATTTCTTGACTTCTTGTAGCAGTAATTGAATTATAGTGTCTTTATCATTTTTAGTCTATTGTTTTGGAATCGTTGTCGGAAATATTTAAGTTGTGACTGTTAATGTTGCTATTTTTCCTATTTGAATGGAAAATTATAATTGATAGTGGTACGATCGATGATTGATTGAAGATGGTAGATGATGTTCTTTTTCTCCAAGAATGGTAGATTCATATATAGTCTATGGTCGACACGTGTCCACCATGAAATTTCTTCGGTTATTTATTTATTTTATTGGTCATGTTCACCCTGAAATTTTATTTGTGTCAATTTCGTACATAAATTTTATATTATTAATGCATGTATGTCAACTTCAAAAAAAATTCTAGATTCATCACTGATTCAGGTCAGGAAAGAGGTCGAAGAAGAAGTCTTCTTTCATTTGGGTTGATAGATTTTATAGCCGGATTGGTGTTAGACCAAAAGATTATGATGATTACTCGTAAGTTAATAGATTAAATAGATAATCACGTAACAATAAATTAGGCTATGACATATCACGTAAATTCGTAAAAGGTAATGTCAAGAAATCGTTTTTTAAGACTCTAGAAAATCAAGAGGGGAGATAAAAGAGATCTAAGAAGATAATATTTATGCAGAAACTGTTGAAAATAAAAACAAATCCATCGAAAGGTGGAATAACCAAATTCACCGAATAGCAATTGTCAAAAAGGGTACGTTTATGTTGAAAATCAACAATGGTAAAAATCTTATTTTTAGTTATTGTAATTTAGGGTATTTATAAATTAGTCCTTAAACTTCAACTATAAATACCATAGCTTATTTAGCTTCAAAATCATCCCAAAGCATTCTAGCTTTCTTCTAATATTAGAGAGAATTTAGAGAGTTTCTTGAGAGTTATTTTCTCCTTTTTATCGAGAGAGAATTATCATTATTTTCTCCTTAGTCGATCGAGAGAAGTTGTAATTCCTATTTTCTCATAGTGAAATTCTTCTACCGTTGCCCGTGGTTTTTACCCTATATTATTTAGAGGTTTCCACGTAAAATTTATGTATTCTTTATTTTCATTTTTATTTTCTCAAATTATCAGTTGAGATTTTGCTCTATCCGATAGCTGTATTCCGCAACAAAACTTCATCAATATCACGTCGAAGTAATATTCCGATGAACAAAGAGGATACCGTTAGTCAGATAGAAGGTGGAGTGTTGCGTCTACGTTGCATGAGGAATACACCTAGTGGTGGCGCCTTCTTGACTGCAAATGATGATGGAAGACTCGTGGGGGAGACAGAGATCATGGGTTGCAGGGATCATGATGTTCTGTGAGAACTCGTGGGGGATGTGATTAAAAACCAAATGGTCACTGATGTGAGAGAGCAGGTTTATAATGATACATTGAAGGAGGATATGGGAAAACAAGTGGACTTGAGGTCTAGTGGAGTAGTCTCGTGGGAACAAATGGTGAATAGTTTAACTAATAGACCAACAATTGATGAGGAGGTGGTACGAGTTGATCCATCGTACGAGAACAACAAATCGGTTCCAAAGAAAAATAGACGCGTCAAACCTCTGCTTCAGAAACAGATAAGGTATGGTTCTATGGCAGAAATTCAAGTGAGATATCTGTCGAGCTTGGAAAGAAAAAACAGGTCTCGTGCAAGTAGAAAGAAGAAGAAACAAGCCACTAAGGAGGAGCTTTCCGAATTTCTAGCCAGAAGGTCGATCCAGCTAAGAGAAGTAAAGAAAAAATGCCGGAGTTTGGCAAAAGCTTGAGAATACTGTTTCAAGGATCGGGAGAAGAAGTGGTGCGAGAGCTAGTTACACTCTTTCAGATGGGGAATCGTTGGTTTTAAAGGAGAACAAGAGTCATAAATTTTAGCATTGAGGCTGATGTAGTGATGAGGATTTTGCTATGAAATATGAGTGATTTTAAGATAGCTGCATCAAACGACATAGCGCCAGGGGGGGTCCCTATATGGGATAAGACTCGTTGTTGATATTGAAGAGCAGATGATTATGTAGAGGTTATTAAAACGTTGAAAAGGGCAAATGAAAGCAGATGATTTTAAGGATCTAGTGCCATGTCTTCGAAAGGATCTAGTACATCATCCCACTAAACCAATTAGTTATTAGTATAATAAGAAATTTTTAGTGAGACGTACAATTTGGATATATAGATGTCGTCACGATTAAATTCTTAATAAAATCATATTTATCGAGAAAAGAATATTACCTCACAAAGAAATCTAGAGTAAGAACAACAAAAATGATATATTCTTCCTTGTGGCGAATAATAATAATAATAATAAAATAAATTATTATAAAAATTACAGATATATTTTAATTTCATTGGCCGGGTTCGTATCTTACGTGGTGAAAGAGGTTCATAAAATAATTTTTGCATTTATCATAGATTATAAAAAAGATGTATTTTAAAAAAAAAATTATAATATTATTTTCGTAATTAACTATTAAATAGGTATTGTTCCCATAAAATTGCAAAGAAAAAAGAGAAAGAAACATCATCTACATTACGGGCGGGTCGGGTGCGGATACCCCTTCCTCTATCCTCATACCCACCTAATATTTTCAAATCCACCACCCGCCCACCACTATGATGGATAAATTTTTCAAATACACACTCGCGCCACGCGGGTACATTCTCAAATCCATCCCTACACCCATTACCCAACTGGATACGTATCCGATTAGATCTGCCTGACAACAACCTTAAGTTATACATAAGCAACAATCATAAAACAAACACGTCCATTAATAAACGTAATAAAATAAACCAAGGATTATAAGTTATGTCTTATACAATATTAATATTTATAAATTAGTCTCTATAATTATATCTAAATTCATAATGATCCAAAATTTAATGGGTATTTAGTAGGCGAGCGGATGTGGGGGTAAGGTCTCAAACCCATCACCCGTATACTACCCGTGATGGGTACCACTTTTTAAATCCACACCCGCCCACTACTCACTAAAGTTATACCCATCCCAACTCCAATTAAAACGAATACGGTGCGAAATCCATAAAATTATACCCGTTTACCATCTATCTACATCTGTTTCTGGGTTGATTGCTTTCTTGCTAACCTTCTATCCGTATACTCATTTAATACCATTAATTTGCCTTGATTATTACGTACAAGGTTCTACAAATCGTACGTCAAATTGTTCAAAACGTGTAATAAATTAAAAATTTTATTTATGTTAATAAAATAAAAAAGTAAGAATATTAACAGAAATAAAATAAAAAAATGATGGGGGTGAAATGGAAATTAGAGCAGAAAATGGAGCTCAAGTTATTCCACTCGAGGTCTCATGATGCAGTCAAAATTCCAGTACCGTTGGTGTGCGTTTACCCCACTGGAGTGATTAATAAAAGGGAAAAAAAAGTAGGTGTGGTGAGTAAATGAATTTAAATAGATGGTTTAGTGTGTGTGGTTTAGATTTTAGGTTGACGTAAAGTCTAAAGCAAAGTCGGCAAACTTCTCCCCTTAGCTCATCGTTGAAGACTGCAAAACCCGAAGCTCCATCGACCAAGGCCGGCGTCATGACTGCACCGGAGAACATGGATTTGATTCCCGGCCTCCTCGTCCCTTACAAGATGGCAAGTTTCAGCCTCTCACACAGGTCTGTTTTCAACACGTATGTATGTATGTATTTTCAAGTTGTTGACTTGTTTTGTATTTCAACCGAAATATATGATTTCCCCTATCAAGATCACTAGAAGGGAACTTTGTTAGAAAAAATTATGAACTTAGACACAGATAAAATTTCAGGGTGTACATCATATGTTAAAATAAGTAATTAATCGAATAAAACTTTAATTTTAAAGTAAACACGTGTCCACCTTCATATTAACGTGGATCTGCCACTGATTTTTAGCCCTTCTATCAGTCTACAAACAAAGAGTCTTGCCCAGTTCAAACCATCCAAACACATATCTCTCTACTTCAGTTTTTGGATTTACAAATGCTGAAAGATTGTGTTAAGTTGTTAACTCTGGTAGTGTTTGATTCAAAATGTTTTTAATTAATTCTAAGACATTATTTCTTTCATAGTTCGATCAAATTTTATTATAATTTAATTATTTAATTTTTCAGTAATTGCTAAAACATTTTATTTTTCAATAATACTATTTCCAACAAATTTATCATTTGAGATTGTTGTTATATATAGGATAGTATTGGCACCAATGTCCAGGCTGAGATCTCACAACTTCCTAGCTCAACCTCATGCAATCTTGTATTACTCCCAAAGAACAACACCGGGTGGTTTCTTGATCGGAGAAGCATCCGGCATTTCACCAACTGCTCAAGGGTAATTCATCTCATAATCCTATTCCCATGCAAGTCGAGAGATTAATTAATCATATAATTAAGTTGACCTAATTTAAATAAAACCTTTAAAAAATTTGAAGGTACCCAAACACTCCCGGAATATGGACGAAAGAACAAGTGGAGGCATGGAAGCCAATCGTGGATGCTGTTCATAAGAAAGGTGGCATATTCTTTTGTCAACTATGGCACACCGGCCGATCATCTGATAATTCCGAGGCATCTTTTCCAGCTCCCCGTCGATTAACGACCCATGAGATAACCCAAGTCGTAAACGACTTTAGAAATGCAGCTCGAAATGCCGTGGAAGCTGGTAAATTTACACTTATTTTTTTTAGGTAGTTGGATTCTGTATTGTCTTAAAAGCCGAAGTTAATGATTTCATGTTACAGGTTTCGATGGAGTAGAGATTCATGGAGCTAATGGATATCTGATCGATCAGTTCTTGAAGGACCGAGTGAACGATAGAAAAGATGAGTACGGTGGGAGCTTAGAGAATCGTTGCCGCTTCCCTCTACGAGTAGTCGAAGCAGTGGCCCATGAGATCGGTGCCAACAGAGTTGGCATCAAACTATCTCCGTTCGCCGATTCCGACGTCAGCGTCGACTCGAACCCGGAAGCCCTCGGCCTTTACATGGTCACGTCATTGAACAGATACGGGATTTTGTATTGCCACATGATGGTGCCAAGGACGATGAGCACCCTATTCGAGAGTAAAGAAACAGAGGGCAGTCTGTCGCCGATTAGAAATGCTTTCGAAGGGACATTTATCGTAGCCGGTGGATACAACAGGGACGACGGAAACGAGGTGGTTACTAGCGGCGGTGCTGATCTCGTTGCATTTGGACGGTTGTTTCTGGCGAACCCTGATTTGCCAAGGAGGTTTGAGCTCAATGCTGAGCTTAACATGTATGATGAAAACACCTTTTGCACTCCTGATCCGGTTGTTGGTTATACGGACTATCCGTTTCTCGAAACCGATAACTAAGTTTCATTTTTATACGCATGTTATGTTTCAATTGAACTTTTGGTGTCTATCATTTCTCTATATTGAATATGTTATAAACTATCCATTTAACTAATTATCTGAACACATCAAAAATATAACATGCTTTCAAATTTTATTATAACTTTAACATGTCAATTTCCACTAACCTGATCCAAAATGATATATTTATTAAAAATTATTATTTTTATTCAATAAAAATAATAATTTAATTAAAAAAATATTTATTGAAAATATTTATTTTTATTTAATAAAAATAGAGATTTAATTAAAAAAATAATGTATAGATAGATATTATTGCAGTTATCCATAAATATATGAGGTAAAATTACAATTTTTTTGAGTCGGATATTTTCACCCTAAACCCGGACTTAACCTCTAAAAGAAATTGACCCCGTGCGACCTATGCCCAATTTTTTTAAAAAAATCTGACCCGATCGAATCGAATCGGATTGAAGCCGGTCAAGTTGGGATGCCATTCCCATCCCTAGACTCCACTCATCCAAAATCCTAGTTTTAGAACATTTTCTTATACTGTTATTGGATTCCTTCTCTTTTTTCCTTTTTTTTAATATCTTTACAATTTCTTGAGCCTAATAACATATATAATATCATTTAATGATTCATTTAAACATCCTAAATCAAAATCACAATCAATCTTAAACATGGATGAATCCTATATTATTTTAAGGTTTTACTTCATCCTTACCAAGCCTGAATCTCTCAACTGGTATAACCAAATGGAAGAGTATCGCATTATATCCAAATATGCTATTGGATTATACATGTACTCGAGATTTTATTGGATTCTTGGACTCTCATCTCACTAGAGTCAAGAAGGGTTCATCAATGGCTACCGAGGCTTTTTGAAGAAGTAGATGTTGATATTTTGTCCTATCAATTCGGTTTGGTAAGCAAAATGGGAAAAATGGGTGTTTTGATATATTTGTCAACAATTTTTTTATTATATATAATCAGATATATTATACGTATTATATAAATTTTAATTTTGCCCAAGGTTAACACATTCGTATGATTTCCATCAAAATCCACTAATTAAAGGTTAGAGGTATCGACCATGCGAAGCTCCTTTCTTTTGTCTTTTAATTTAGACGTTATACTTTCATTTCGTTTTTCAGCTTTAAAAGTTCAGATTCAGATTTCTTCAGCTTTAATCTTCTTGGGTTAATTTTTTAAAATTTGAGATTTATTACGTTGAATTTATTCCGATTTAAAAAATTTTACGTTCAAATTAATTTTTTTATTAATATGAAATGATTATACGATGATATTTATCCGAAAAATTCTTAATTATTTAATAATAAATATTTAAACACCCTCATAAATATCGAGTTCGAATTCAAATTTTTTAAAGTTAATAATATCGTTTCGTGCTTAGGCAGTCGAGCTGCCACCTCACTTTTAATTTATCGAATGATAGATTAATAATTGGGCACCGCAATCATCTTGGTGGTAAATAAATTGGGCTCTGATCGAGTGATAAACGGCCCACTAAATCTTATAAGTTATAAAATAATAGAGATATTATAACATTAATGGGGATAGGGGCTCGAATTTACCAAATTAACCCAATTGCCAAACAAAGTACGCGCGCCAGTAAAAGGAAAGGAGAGGAGAGAAACCAAAGGCCGCAGTGAGAGCGAAGAAGCACAAAGGAAACACAAAAGGGCAAGAGGTGAATATGGGAAAGGCCTAAGCTTAGGAGCCACGCAGCCAATCACATAAAAGCACACGGATCGTTGACGTGGCATGAAATTTCCAAATCCCGCCTAAAACATTGATTTCATTTCGTGCGCAATTGAATTTCAATTTGCACCCCAACTAAATATCTCCTCCTTTCTCCCCCACCTCCATACTCTCAAACTCACCGCTTGATTCCCTCTTTGTTCTCTCTCCTGTTATCCTAAACCTACGTCTTCAACCAGGTATTTTCTCACCGATTTTCCTCCTTTTTTTAACGAATTCGCTCGTTTTTCAACTGGTCTGAGGTTTTTGATTCGTAGGAATCGACATGAAGGGAGGAAAATCAAAGTCAGAGACGAAGAGCAGCAAGTAAGTTTTTTGTTTACTTTTCCGTTTCGGTATTTTGGTTTATCCTTTACTGGATCGCATTTTCTGAGAACTATATGAGAATTGTGGTTTTTAATATTTTTTGACAATTTTTTTTGGCTTTCTTGTGTTAGGCTCACCGTGAAATCCAAAGCTGGAAAGAAATCGGGGAAGGCTGCTAAGGATCCGAACAAGCCAAAGAGGCCTGCTAGCGCCTTCTTTGTTTTCATGTAGTTTTCCGCTCCTGTCATGTCGCTTTATTTTGTGTCGTAAACGATTCTCGCCTGGTTTTATAAGTTGGAAATTCTGTCGCTCTATTTTGTGTTGGGCTTCTTATTTTTAAAGGAAAGACCGTTTACGAAACGATTAAGTTGATTTTCTCTCATTTTATCGTCTAATTAATGTTCCATTTTATATTTTAGGGAGGAGTTCCGTGAGCAATACAAAAAGGAGCACCCTAAAAACAAATCCGTTGCTGCTGTAAGTGTCACTAATGCTTTTCTTTTTTTATTTATTTGATTTACCGCCACAAAAAATCTTACCTTCCTCTATTTTAGGTTGGCAAAGCTGGAGGAGATAAATGGAAGCGCTTATCTGAAGCTGTAAGTATTTACTAGTTTTCTTTGAAAATTTCAAAACCTTTATATGCAACCGTGTTCTCTGATTGAATTAAAATTGGTATGTTCAGGAAAAAGCACCTTATGTAGCAAAAGCAGAGAAGCGGAAGGCCGAGTATGAAAAGAACATGAAAGCCTACAACAAGAGACAGGTAATAATTCACTTTTGTTCAGTAAGTTATTCATTCAGCAGAATGGGTCTGTTTAGGCAGCTCATAATTAAAGAACTTTCCAGGCTGAGGGTCCCAAAGATGAAGATGCGGAATCTGATAAGTCTGTGTCTGAGATCCATGACGAAGATGATGACGAGGAAGGCAGTGGAGACGTGAGTTGCAAATGTTTCAGTTTTTTTATTTTTATTTGATCATTGGTTTTCCATTATCCGTCACTGAATTTGTGAATTTGTTCTCATGTATTGCGCAGGAAGACGATGACGAGTAGAGATGATCCTCGGAGGGTAGTGAAATGAATGTAGAATGTGACAGTGTTTGATCAAAATCCTATGTTAATGCTTTGATGTTCTCCATGTTTATTCTTTTAGATTGCACATGTCAATCTAAAGGGAGAAATGTACCTCTGAATCATGTTGGTTTCCATTGACCTTCAGAAATTAAGTAGTCGTAGATGGTATATCTGCTGCTGTATGTACTTCTTGATTTAAAGTTAAGTGGTTTAGATAAATCCTTTTGTAGAGAATTAGTGCTTTAATTTCCAATTACATTCTGTTAATCTCCGTTCGTTTTGATTCATGTGGTTGTCTTTATGGTTGCTAGGATGATTTATTAGGCTTTTATATGTTGATTTTTATGCTTGACGTGGTTTTCTTTGTTGTTACCTTCTACTTGTACTTGGAGTGCTAGTTTATCAACTTCTGTGGCTTTTGTTTTCATGGCTTGGCATTCGTCTGCAACAGATAATTCGTGCATCCAGGGTTTTCTGTGCGAGCTAATCATTGGCATTTTTTTTAAATTATGTTGTGGTTGACTTTGGATGGTAAAGCAAATTCTATTTTATGCTACAACGGTCACTGGTTATAATCATTAAACAAATTATTGGTCGGGAAAGTGAAAAGTCAGTCGGCCATTCTGCGACGCATAATCGCTGTTGACAGTCTCTGTCTTGTAACGAATGAGATATTTGAACTAGCCATTAGAGATGCAATTTGTTTGAAGCTTGGATGAGCCAAGCTGCAATATGCATTACGCGTGGAGGCAATTAGTCTACTATGTTCCTCGCAAAATGTATTATATTACTTTATGTACAATTTTCTCTTGTTTTAATCATTTTACATTATTAGATATGCATTACGCCACTAATACAATTAAATTTAAATTACAAATTTAATAATTGAATTTTACTCCTTTTTCTTTCTTATTTCATTAATTGTATTTTTAATTATTTCAATATAATTACTGTACTTTATATATTGGAGCTTTTTGGTTGTCAAGTGTTTCTTAACTATGTGATGACATGCTGGCATGGCATCTTTCTTCACCCAATTGCATTTTCTTTATTTGTTTTCATTCTTCATCACCCGTTGTTGACTTTTGCTCATCAATCTCTCACCCATCCTCTCTCATTTCGACTTCAACAAATGTTTTTTTTAATTTGTAGAATGCATGATTATGTTGGAGAGAATAAATAAATAGAGACGAGAGTAGTAAGATAAAAGAATTTAAATCACACCTCCAATTAGTATGACTAAGGTGATGTTATGAGAACCCTTGTACATTACTAGTTATCTTCATGAATCAAACTTCATAATCTGAAATCAAAGATTTACATCTCATATAGTTGTACAGCGTGAATCAAATCCCTCGTTATATGATAGAACTGACTTAATGGATTTGAAGTCGAACAAAATTTTAGAAGAAAATTAATGTGATTCTTAATTTTTTTACGACCTTTAAATTGAGAGAGTAAAGATTTAATATAATATTTTCATCAACGTATTCAAATCAATAATAATAAAATATGAACTAAAGTTAAATAAGGTATATAAATTAGTGTGAATTTAATATTTACATGCATTATGCCTTGAAAAAACTAAATGACATTATGCCTTATTTATATAAACTTTGTTTAATGAGATTGGTTTATTGACCCCTTAGTCCCCGGTGTAACCTCGCAAGTTGTCGAAGGCTTCCTTTCGATGCTTCGGATTACCTTTGCGTTGCTTCTTCTTTTTGTGGGTAACGACAATTTATTATTGCAATTTCTTGCTTTAATTTCTTCTCAGCTAACAAACTCTGTTGCAATTTCATTAACTCTTTATCTCTATCCGTCGGTGGACCCACGGTGGTCAAAGCTTGGCCTTTACTGCGTTC